TATACTAGCTGTTTTAATCTGAAAATGTAAGAACAGTATTTAAATAAAAGCTCACATAATGCATTTTATGACATAACATTTTAAAATGATAAATAATTCGAAAAACAATAAGTTCAATAACAATAAATTTTTTTTATGTAATAAATATTTCTACTTAAACAAAATGAAAGATTTTATACAAAACATGTTGAGCACAATTATTGAGAATAGCTCAATGTTTACTCAAAATTATCTTTCAAAGTTTATTTATTTGAATAATTAATCTCATTAGATAATTGTACTCAACAAATTTTGGATATCGAACAAACAGCCGATATATATAAGATTAATAAAATTAACACAGTATTTCATCGCTAGTGTCATATGTTTCGTGTTATTAAACACAGCATATTTAATCAGCCGATTAATCGAAGCCATATTTTATGTATTATCAAGACCGAATATCTTCGCAAATGCTAAGTATAATGGCAGGCTTTAAAGCTCCGATATGTTCTTGTTATCCCACATCCCCCTAATTCCTAATTGATCGGTAGTGTCCACTCGGAGAAATTTCGGGCACGCTCTCGATGTTTCCTGCGACTGATTGGATAATCATATCACTCCAGATATTGAGCTATTGACCATCTTTCATACAAGAAGCATATTCCTCGCGATATTTCTCTTACTATTCGTTTTCCTCTTCATTATTCGAAACATTTGAATTTCTTATGTTTAGTTTCCTAAATGAAAAAAAATAAAAAAACTAGTTGTTGTTAAAGTAGCATTTGATCAAAATTAATTTTTTTTAAATCTTATAAATTTCTACATGCCTAGTGCAATTGTTTCGGAACTCAAACAACTGTTATTTTTAAAGTCTAATTTTTCATTTTTCTTTTATGTTACAATAAAAAAATCTAACTCTCTACAAGAATAGGACATTCCAAACTAATGATTCTGGAGAAAGATTTTGAATAAAACATGTAGAAATAAACATAATAGAGTATTAAAATATGATATGTTTATAGTACAATCGTATATTCTCTTGATTGCAAAAAGAAACGGCTATATGTATATTTTTTTTTCTTTTCTCAGATCAAATATCTGTTTTGCCTTGTATAACGTATCCGGTATTAAATCACAACTAGAAACCGGGTGAACTACGTATGCAACGTTTATTTTAACGCGTCATATTCAAACAAGCGTCCAAAGGTTTGCGATACGATTCACAATATCTAAAGAGCGAATCGATGTTCCATAATGATATTCAGTATGTCAAACGTGCTTATGCCATCAGCTTTTTTCTCAATGTCATATTGAATCCTATATTAACATAATATATTAATTTCCACGTTTATCAATTATTTTAGCTCTTAGTAGATATCATTTTAGGAAGTGAGTAAGAGAGTCATAAAAGCACATTCGAATAAAAGTATTTCTCTTATTTTTTATATTTTTATTAATCGATTAATTTATAAATCGATAAATTTTCCATAAATGCAAAAAATACATTTTCTCATCTTTATTCATAAAATATATTTTATCTAAAAACAGAAAAAAACTAAAAAGTTATTTTCGCGTTTGTCTCGCGATATTTTCTTCGATCTTCGCGTTGGTGAAACATTTTAAGGTAAAGTGTAATTTAATCTTGTCATCGTCATTCCGATTCTCACAGATCTTAGAATTGAAAAACATTCTACTTTCGATTTTTTTCTCTATATATTTCCAATTCATTTAAACATATTCGATTCATATTTGTATACAATACTGTAACAGTATTACATACTCATAATTTAAAAGTTAAAGATAAATTCATTGATAAAAAAATCTTTAGAAAGAAAAGTTCGAAAAGAACTAAGTAGACGATAAAGAAGAATTATGAACATTATTCATAAAATCATGCTTATTAGCATAAAAAAAATTGTTAAATTGCTTGTACAATTTGGTAAGTGATATTATCCCTATTATACCAGTTTTGCTCATGAATGCGTTTCAAGACCAAAAAAAAGTTCGACGCGCAGTATGCAGAATTAGAATGTATGTATATAAATTCACACAGAAATATGTATTTAAGCACTAAGATTCGCTTCAACTGAATTTCTCGTATTTAATTAAAAAAAAAAGTTCAATAGTTCAATAGTTGATTCCAGATATCGAGCTCCACAGATAATTACGTATATCACAAACGTGGGGCAAACCTATCCGAATTACTTGTAACATTTAATCTGATATAGCACATGAATAGCGAGCAGATAAAGTCTCCTCATTCCCGAGATTACCTACCATCGCGCAGCCAATCGAAGATCTTCTCGTGCCATTCTCTACGAGCACAATAACCGCATGAGTTCCATTGAATCGGGCGCATCAATCGATGTATGAACGCGTGCGCTCCACATTTTGGTATTATCAAGAAAAAGATCGAATATCGTTAATACAATATTGATATGATCGAAGATCGTTAATACAATATTCGATATACGTTTCTTTAAAAAAAATATGAATAAAGATCTAATACATATAGAATTACCATTCTAAAAGGAATTATTTATTAAATAGAAACCTTTTAACCTATATCGTTGAGTAATTAAATTATAATAAATGAAAATGTCTCGAAACTCGAGATAGATTCATCGTCCTACCTAATTATTTAGTTGCCAGCATTTTCGTACATAATTGCCTGTGCATAAAGTATTAATAACTTTTCCTCTTTTCTTGAAACGAACGTTCTCGAAGGCTAAAACTAGATATAACTTTCGCAATTGTAATGTACTATTAAATTGAGTGAACAACAAAGTCAGGCGAGTAAACGCGATTTGACGTCGACGTCGATATGTGACAGATGTAAGTTTCATTGCATATGTGTACACATGACACTACAACATAAAGCGTAACATTGAGAAATGTGTCAGTCCGATGCAATGAAACTATAAATCAAACACATATAGGGTTGGAAAAGAAAGTTTGTCCACCAACTATAACAAACTCTCGCAGCAACAGACAGTTTCAGTAGATATACATTTCGAATTAAATGTAGAGAATGACAATTGAAAAATTTCGTAAATCATACATACACATATAT